GGCGTGGGTGTGAGGTTGGGTTGGGCTTGTGCTTGGGCGTGGGTGTGAGGTTGGGTTGGGCTTGTTCGACCCAATACCTATCTTTTTGGGTCAAAAACATTTGAATTTAATTTTATTTTTTGAAAAATAAAATCCAGAATTCAAATTAATTCCAGAAATAAACTGGTCCGGTTTTTTCTGTACACTCAAACAAGTCCCTTCCTGTTTTTATTTGTTCAAATTTTGAACCCAACAGACTTGTATCTGTTTATTCAAACTGAACATGTATCATACATGTTCAAACAGGTTTTGCACCTGTTTAATTCAAAACTAACAGCCACAATTCTGCCTATAAATAGATCAGCCCTTCATTTGATTTTTACATTTAGAAATTTCGTACTTCACCTTTGCAAAATTTATTCTTCATTTTGTAGCATTTAATTTTTTGTGAGAAAGAATATAAACTCTTAGTGTGTTCGTTAGGCAAACAATTTGTAGTGCTGCTATTGTTTGTAGTTGATCATTTCATTCTGGGAGATAGACGTTCACATTCTGAAAGCACCGTGGAGAGGACGAATATGTTTTAAGGACACAGTGTCAAACACTGGACTTGATCAGAATACTATTGAAGATATTAATCAAGTAAGTTATTTATTTATTTTCTGTTTTATTATTATTTATTTAAATTAGATTTTAATTTTGTTTTGGTAACAAAATAAAATCTTTTTTTTATTTATTTAATTCTATTTCTAGTTTTATTTTTGTAATCAAACATTTTTCTCTCATTTTTTTTATTTCTTTATATTCTAGTTGTTGTTTAGTACATAATAGAATTTAATCTATTTAAATACAGTGAAAATTGTCCAACAAGATATTAGTTATTGTATATCATCCATCCAAACCAACGTCTAAATTCAATGGCTTGCTGATTAGGATCAAACTATCTGGTCTAGATTTAGTCCAAAAGATTGTCAGTTAATCTCAAGAGCTATAAGTACCAATACATTTCCCAAGTGGTCTTCGATGACAAAACAAACCAAACCTAATTAAGCCCAGCTTCCCAATCAATTGAGGTAAGCTACACAAATCTTAACTGTAATTAAAATTCCCACATTGCAGAATATCATAAAACCCACAATCTTAACTGAATTAGATAAAAATAACAACTCCAATTCCCAATCATTGCAAACTTATAAAAAAAAATTGAAAAAATAAAATAAAAATAAAGGTAGAGAAGCCTAAACAAATAAGAACCTAAAAATAGTAAAAGAACAGATAAGAACGAAAGACAGCGAGTAGAAAACTAACCTATGATCGTCATGGAAGTTCTCCAAGAGCAAAAGACAATTCACAGTAAAGAGAGAGACACAGAGAAAGAGAGTTGGATTTGTCTAGTTTTTTGGATTCGACCCAGGCCCAATGATCAGAGAAAGAGAGTTGGATTTGTCTAGTTTTTTGGATTCGACCCAGGCCCAATGATAGGCCCAACTGATATGGCCCTTAAAATATATGGGTTGGACTCATGAGTTGGCCAATAGGCCTATGTCGGAGGTTCATATTGACCTCATATATATATATATTAAATAATAAATATTCTCACTCTCTCATTTTTATTTTTATTTTTTGTGTACAAATACAGTTTTAGTAAAATAATATAAAGCTAAGGGGAATTTTTTTTAAGGTTCTTGATATTAAGATTTTATAAGATAAAGGATATATAATATTTTCATAATAGTTAAGGTCCCTCAACATTTCTACAGAGAAAATTCGACTCAAAGAAATTTTGCTTGACTCGGAGAAATTTCAATTTTCATAGAGAAATTTTTAAAAAAATTTATCTGTGATCATACCAAATTGGGTGAAATTTCTTTGAGTCAAATTTTCTCCGTAAAAATGTTGAGGGATCTTAACTAATAAAAAAAATATCTTGGACTTCTCATACTACACAAAGTTGGAGAGAGTTGTTTCACTAATTTTCTCTAAAACTAAATGAGTAGCACTCCAACTGTGAAATTAATAACTATATTTTTAATCAAATTAAAGATTCCTAGAGTTTAATAACATAATCATAATGAATGTAATTATGTATTTCAAGAAATAAAGTTTATTTTTTGTTTTTCTTGATTCAATATTCTATTCTAATTATGGTAATGCATTTTAAGATTTTGTGTTATATAAGTAACTTTTTTTCTTAATTTATTTTGAATTTAATAAAAACAAGTTGAACTAAGTGAAATTCTGCTTGTACACACTATATGCATCTTTTGCTATGAATTTTGAATCAATGCTTACGACATATATCATATATTGTAATGTTAGTTATGATAAGATTTTAGTTATAATTCAAGAGCTATTTAGTTATATCTCATATGATATTTAGTTATAATAATTTTTTTTTTTTCAATCATGATTTCCTATAATATTGAGTTATGTCATTTATGATAATCAAACTTACAAATAACATAATTCCTATATGGTACACATCTTGAAAGTATTTCTCTTGAATTTAAAGCCTAGATTAGGCTCATATAGCCAAGACCGACTTGAATCCCACAAACTCGTATTTTTAAGTCCGTAAGAGATGGCCTGGCTCGATCTCCCACAGTTGACTGGTTAAAACCCATGGACATAGGCCTTAAATTTTAGGTCCGGGCTAGCCCATTGCCATGGCTTTTTTTTTTTAAATTGACCCATTGCCATGGCTTAAGTTCACTTCCTTGGCTAAAATTATAAAAGGTCTAGTTTATCTTTTCAATTTATTTTTATTTTTTATTTTATAAAAATCAATTTTATTTTTAGGTTGGTCTCATCTAAATGATTCTAATTTAAAATTAAAAAAAAAAAAATTAAGATAAAATAAGCCGAACTAAAATAGACAAAAAAAAAAACAATTTTACACGCAAAAAAAAAAAAAAAAAAAAACTAACTCCCAAAGAAAGCTGTGGTGTAGTTCGGCCTATTATAATGATTTAAATTGTTTATCTTGGTTATTGTGTGTAAATTATACATTAAAAAATAAACAAATTTAATAATTATGACCAGATAATTTTGTTATATTTATTTATAAAAGATAAACGGTATACTTGTCATCCAATTTGTGAAGACAGGTAAAAAGCATGTAATCATGATTATTAAATAATTTATACAAAAAATTAACAAATCAAAAAAATTATATCTCCAAAGTAAGACACATGATAAATTTTACGGGCTCAACAACTGTACTCTTAGGAATGATAATTTTCTTCCGCCCCTACATCCATGCCTTGCTCTGCACAGATTTTATCCTCCGGTCCAAATTATATTTATTAAATATATTTATATAATATATAATTTTTCTTTTTTTTCAATATAATAAGATTAAAACACTAAAATATTATACTTAACGTTTATTTTTATTTTTTTACATCTTTTAACTTTCATTAATATTTACAATTTTTTAGAGTTATGAAATTAATCAATCCTGCTTTGCTCCCAGCCCACCCTACCCAAGCCATTGACCTTGTTTGCCCCACCCTCAAAGCAAAATTCAAAACAGGGACTATGAATTTTGGAAAGTTATTCAATAATTCCAGAATATTATGTGTCTGTACTTTTTAATTAATTATCATTTAATATGTTCCTTCATATTCTTCAATCATTCAACACAATACCTTATCTATCCATCTTCTTCACCAATCATAATACTATAGAAGACTACGTATAAATACTCCGAGATTACTCCATAACAGTAAGGATCTCTTGTCTCAAATCACTCAAAGCCATTGGATCATGTGAGAATCTTAAGAATTGAGAATCCTAAGATATATCTAATAATTATGAGTGCTTTGGCACATAGGGACAGTAATTTTTGGGGAGAGGGGATCCCAAGGCACTGAATAATTACCCATGAACCTAATATTTTATCATTTCTATGTACAATTAGTCAAATCCGTTTTTGTCCGCTAAAACGCGTGGGGTTAAAACGCGTGGGACACGTAGAACTTTCGGTACCAAAGCATGGGGCTTTCATACTTCGAGTTTGAGCAATTATTTAGGGGTAATGTTAGGAATACCAAATTTTCTACTAAACAAATGACTAAATGTCTGTGGGGTCCGTAATTTTATGGACCCCACACTCATGTGAGATATTTAGTCATTTGTTTGGTAAAAAATTTAGAACCTCTAGCATTTTCCATTATTTAGAGGTTCGTTGAAAAAGAAAAAAAATTTATGTAGAGGTTGCCTAAATACACAAATGCGTTGGTAAAAATAAAAATTAATTTGACGAAAATCAAGATAAAATATTTTGGGTAATTGAGTTTTCAGAATATGTTTACTATTTTTTTAAAAATAAAAATAAATTTGACAAAAATCAATATAAAAAAATATATTTACTGTTTTTTTTTAAATAAAAATTAATTTGACAAAAATCAAATATATATATATATATATCTCTTAAAAAAAGAGAACCATTAAATGATGAGAATTTTTTATTTTTCGTTTTTCTACCAAAAAGTTTTGTTTTGTTTTTTTGTTTACACCATTCATTTTTTTTTTTGTTCCAAAAAAAAAAAGCAAAAACTAATTTAACTTTTTTTTAGTGTTTACTTACATCAAAACTAGTTTGCATATTAATAGTTGTCAGTAATTTAGATTATTGCGGATTATTTATGGATTATGTCAATTTGATTCATGTCATTTCAACCGAAATATATTTAATCTTAAATTTTATAATTTGTGCCAATTAAAGAAAATAAAAAATAATAATTAAAATTTTGGATGAAAAATGATTATGATAATTTCCAAAATTTACAATTCATAGTCTTATTTTGAAATCCCAATTTTCCTATGCACCTAATTGCACCATATCACACTTTGGAAAGAAAAAGGAGTATTGGGTTACATAATTTAAGTGGTTCAAAATTTTAAAATAATCTTTATCAAATCAAATTTTACGGTGAAATTGTTACCAACTGAACTACATGAATTAAAATTAAAAATTATGAAAACTAAATAGATGAAATTGCAAATATATATATATATATATTTTGGATCATAAAAATTGCTAATATATAATTAAAACAGAAAAAAGAGTGACCAAATTTTGATAGATGCTTCCACATGTGTGAGGGACGTCCTCCACCCCTTATTCTCTACCCTTTTATCATCTTCAGTTTAGAGTTGTCATCAACATTGCAAAATGGCCGAGAGTGCAGTGTTCCATCTACTAGCCAACTTCGCACCCTTCCTCCGACAAGAGGCCAATTTGTTGACTGGAGTTCGAGATGAGATCCAATACATCAGAGATGAATTCGATCGCATGACTGCTTTCCTCAGAGTTGCCGATGCTATGGAAGAAAACAACCCCCAACTCAAAGTATGGGTCAAGCAAGTCCGAGAAGCTGCGTACGACATTGGAGATGTTCTCGAGTTGTTCATGCTTCGCCTCGGACATTGTCATGGCTCTGGATTTCGCGGTTTTCTTCGCAAGGTTTCTTGCTTTATTAAAACTTTAAAAGCCCGTCACCAAATTGCTTCTGAAGTTCAAAGAATGAAGGCTAGTGTCATCGATATTTCGAAGGGACATCAGAGGTACCATGAAAGATATGGTATGTTAGAGGCAGGCTCAAGCTCAAGGTCCACTGGTTTTAACAAAGCATGGCATGATTGTCGCGGCGATGCCCTTCTACTCGATGAAGCAGAGCTTGTGGGTATCGATGAACCCAAATCGGAACTGATTTGGTGGTTGGTGCATGAAGATCCCAGACTCAAGGTGCTCTCCGTATCAGGAATGGGTGGATTGGGCAAAACAACACTCGTTAAAAAGGTCTTCGATGATGCAGTTGTGAAGAAGCATTTCCAGAACTATGCTTGGATCACTGTTTCTGAATCTTTTAACATCAAGGAGCTCCTGAAAGGCATGATCAAACAACTTTTTGAAGAAGTCAACCAACCAGTCCCACAAGGGGTGGAGTACATGGATATGAATAGCTTGAAAGGGATAATTCATGCTTTCCTGCAACAAAAGAGGTATCTGCTTGTTTATGATGATGTATGGGATATTCATGCGTGGCAATCATTTAGATATGTGTTTCCCATTGGCAATTGTGGCAGTCGAGTAGTGCTCACAACCAGAAATGCAGATTTAGCTTCTTTCTCTAGTAAAGAATATCATGGGGATGTCTATTACCTTCAGCCCTTGCCTCCCAAAGAGTCTTGGACATTATTTTGTTGGAAAACATTTATGGAGAATTCTTGCCCTTCACATTTGGAAGGACTTTCAAGAGCCATCTTGAATAGATGTGGGGGATTGCCGCTTGCAATTGTGACAATTAGTGGTCTTTTATCAACGAAGGATAAGAGCAATGTGGATGAGTGGGATAAGATCTACCGCAGCCTTGGATCAGAACTACAAGGAAATGACAAACTGTTGAGCATGAAAAAAATATTGTCACTTAGTTACATTGATTTACCTTACTATCTAAAGTTTTGCTTTCTATATCTAAGCGTTTATCCAGAGGATTATTTGATTGAACACTCGAGATTGATTCGGTTATGGGTGGCAGAAGGCTTCGTAGAAATGAAAGAATGAAACAAGGAATGACTCTAGAAGAAGTTGCCGAGGGCTACCTCAATGAGCTAATCAATAGAAGTTTAGTTCAAGTGGCAGAGATGAGATCAGATGGAAGGTTTGAAACGTATCGCATCCATGACCTCTGGCATGAAATTATTGTTTCAAAGTCGGGAGAGCAAAACGTTGTGACAATAGCTGGTGAACAAAGAAGAGTGTGGCCTGAAAAGGTGCGGCGCTTATCAATCCACAATCATTTGGAAAATACACAGCAAAGCAAGTGTTTCACTCGACTTCGTTCTTTGCTTATGTTCAATGCAATAAATTCACTGTCCATGTTGTCCATGCTTGCATCGTCAAATGATGGTCTACGATTGCTAACCGTGTTGGAATTGAGAGGTGCCTCATTGGAGACATTCCCAAATGGAGTTTTGAAACTATTTCAACTTAGGTATTTAAGTTTGAGGGGAACCAATGTAAAAATAATACCCAAGTCAATTGGAAAGCTCCAAAACCTGGAAACATTGGACCTTAAACATACGTATGTCACTGAGTTGCCTGATGATATCCTAAAGCTCCAACGACTTCGCCATATCTTGTTATATCACTACATACAAAATCCAGTTCCTTCAATTTGTTTTCATGATCACTGCGGATTCAAAGCCCCGACGGAAATAGGAAGTTTGTCATCCTTACAACAACTTTGTTCTATTGAAACAAACCATGACAATGGGACCATTTTACTAGGAGAGGTAGGGAAGTTGATTCAACTGAAGAAATTACGCATTGAAAAACTAAGAAATGAAGATGGGAGGGTGTTATGCTCGTCCCTTGAGAAGCTTAGTAACCTTCGCTCATTAGTTGTTCGTGCAACAGGAGAAGACGAGATCATTGATCTAGATTCTCTTTCTTCACCTCCTCAACTTCTTCGAACGCTCTACCTAGTAGGAAGTTTACATAAGGTACCGCATTGGATAACTTCACTTCATAGCTTGGTAAGAGTAGTTTTAGCATGGAGTAAGTTACGGGATGTTGATCCACTGGAATCCCTTCAAGATTTGCCCAATTTGGTTGAACTTCAACTTCTTCAGACATATGAAGGGGCAAAATTGTGTTTCAAGGCTAGTGGATTTCAAAGACTTGTGAGATTAGCACTTTCTGTATTAAAAGGATTGAGATGGGTGAAAGTGGAGGCTGGCTCCATGCCTCATCTTGAAGTGTTACTTATCCGGAAATGTGAATTGGTAGAGGAGTTACCCTCTGGCATTGAACATCTAACCAACCTTAAGTCTCTTCATTTGGTTGATATGTCCAATGGATTGAGTTCGAGTCTGAACAGAGACTTAAAAGATGGGAATTATTGGAAAATTGCACACATACCAGAGGTTGGGATTGTGAATACAAAACGTGGCTATGTGGAAGAATATTATCTTTAGTGCGAGAGGCGAGAGCTCTAACCATATTGGATCACCACCACATTTAGAATACTTGTTATGTATTTATTTCATGTGCTCTTGGTACTTGATTTGTTGTATTTATATTGGGATCCAAATTTTCTTTATTTATGTATTTTTTCTCTATTACAATTTTGTTTTTTTAGTAGATCAGGAGCTTGTTATTTGACCTTCTGACTTTGAGTTGGTAACTTCACAAATTTTTTAATTGAGATTGTAAATCTTAGGATTCGTTTGGTGAGGTTTTTATTTTTATGATTATTACAATTTTTTGTTTTAGATTTAAAAATTTTGAAAATTTGAATAAAAAAAAACGTTTGGTAATTGTTTTCACTCTAAAAAAAAATGGCTACAATTTCATAATTCGCGGAAACAAAAAAAAGAAGTGCTTTTACTTAAGTTTCATTCCCTCTTGCCTCCCTCTATCCTCTGGCCACCCTCTTTGTTTCACTGACCATCTTCGACCACTCCCTCTTTTGGTTAGGGGTGATAAATGAACCAAACAGTTTGAGCTCGACTCATGTTGGCTCATTAAAAGCTCATTTGAGCTCAGTTTATTAAGTAAGCAAGTTATAATTAAACACATTTTGAAACTCTTTAAAGTTTTCAAACCAAGCTTGAACAGACAATTCTTATTTGGCTCAGTTCGATAAGCCTAAAGCTATATAAAAATACGAAACTATTCGAGTTTGGTTCGAGAAAAACTCGTTTGAGATCAACTCAAAAAGTAAAGGAACCATGTTTGAACAAATTTTAAAACTCATTAAAGTTATTAAACCAAGCTTGAAAAGTATACTAATCGGCTCCTTGTTTTTTCTTTTTCTTTTTTTGAACAAGGAAATCAATTGTTTGGCTCATTTATCACCCCTACTTTTGATAACTTACCAAACTTTTTTATTTATTTATTTATAGTTTTTATATGTTTTGAGAATTAAGTATACCAAATATGCTATTTATTTTATTTTAGTTTTTACAACTAAAAAAAGAAAGAAGAAGAATAAAAGAATAAAAAACAAAGAATAAATGTATTTTAGGTTCTCTGTACGTAGAAAACAAAAAAATTAACCACATGTCAAGTTTGAGCAAAATTGCCAAGTGTCAAGTTTGAGTGAAAGTTACGGGTTGAAGTAGAAGAGATTAGTGGAAAGTTTAGGTGAAAGTGCCCAATTGTTAAGTTTGGATTGGATAGAAATTTTAGTAACGAATATAGGCCTCCCTTTTTTCTTTTTTTTTGTTGATAAATAACCAACTTTATTAAAGAGCATCAAGAAGATGCAAAGAATACAATCAACGGCCTTGAGAGCCCATCGAAACTAACAAATCAAATTCTCCACAAAATCTGTAAAAGTCAATACATCTGGATCCACTAAACCTGTCACCCAACTATACAGAACAGTAAGAAGGCGCCTCTCTAACCAAGTGATGGAATGAGCAACCCCATGAAACACCCGCTTGTTTCGCTCTTACCAAATCAACCAAAGTAAACAGTGCAAGGCAAGAATCCAAGCCTTTTGACGCCTCTTCCCCACCCTCCTCCCAACCCAACTCTGCAAAACTGCAAACAAAGAACCCAGTTGAACCCAAACCAGCCCAAACATTGCCACCACAAGCATCCAAAGGCAAGAAGAGACCGAACAATGAATAAGCAAATGGTCAACCGATTCCGCAGCTTGACCGCACAAGCAACACCAATTCACCAAAATATGCCCACGACGAATCAAATTATCAATAGTCAAAATACGACCCAAACTCACCGTCCACACAAAGAAGGCAACCTTGGATGGCATGCCTGACACCCAAACACTCTTCCACGGATAGATGAAGGTGCCATCAACAACACACTTATCCTCAACAAGCGCCCCATAGAACGAAGACACCGTGAAAATACCTTTGGCCCTAGGACAATCCCAAACCAAGGCATCATTATCCGCCTGTCCAAGATGTAGACCATATAAAAAACCAAGGAGATCCACTAATTGATCTAGCTCCCAGCCTTAGATATGACGACGCAACTGCAGCAACTGCACGTTCCACACCCTAAACTGCCCCTCCCCAACCCGCACAGCACTCACCAACACCTCAAAATTCGTAGCAATAGCAAATATCAAAGGAAAGCGAAGCTCTAACGACAAGTCACCACACCACCTATCCCGCAAAAATCAAACTCTATCCCCCACACCAATTTTGAACCTCACGTGCCGCCAAAATGCTTCCCGACCCAACCAAATCCCTTTCTATAACCCGAAACCATGAGAATGACCCACCCGTCCCGAGCACCATGCCCCCCTAACCACACCAAACTTAGCAACCACCACCCGCCTCCAAAGCTGCTCCCTCTTCTCCACGAAACGCCACAGCCACTTCCCTAACAAGGCCAAATTAAACAAGACCAACCTCCGAACCCCCAATCTCCCTTGCTCCTTAGACCGACAAATCCGATCCCAAGACACCAAATGATACCGACCACCCTCACCCCACAAAAAGTCCCTTTGCAATTTCTCAATCCGCCTTGCCACAGAAACCGGTATCACATGAATAGACATAAAATAGGTCAGAATACTCGACAGAATACTTTTAATCAATGTAAGCCGCCCTCCCTTCGACAAATACTGTCGTTGCCACCCTGCCAACCGACGCACCCAATCCACCACTCCTTCCCAAATCCCTGTTGCTTTAAAAGAAGCCCCCAAAGGCAAACCCAAATATGTGACAGGTAACGATACCACTTTACACCTCAAAATGGCTGCCAAAACCGAAGACCTTGTCACTTGCCCCACTGAAATCAATTCTGATTTTGCTAAATTAATCCGAAGCCCGGACACTGCCTCAAAACACAACAACACACATCTCAAATGTCCAATCTGGGCCTCCTTCGCATCACAAAAGATAAGCGCATCATCTGCATAAAACAAATGAGACACCGTCACATTTCCAGGAGCCACTCCTACCTCAAATCCATTCAGCAAACCTGCTTGCACCGCCCTTGCCAACAAACGCCCCAAAGCTTCCATAACCAGGATAAACAACAAAGGAGATAAATGATCACCCTGCCGCAGCCCGCGATGAGTCGGTAAAAATCCTGCCGGGGAGCCATTAACCAAAACTGACATTCGCATAGTAGAAATGCAAAACAAAATCCAACGCCGCCACTTCGCCCCAAATTGCATCATCTCCAACAAATACATCAAAAAATCCCAATCCACATTATCGTAGGCCTTCTCAATATCTAATTTACAAATAATCCCCTCATTTCCTTGATGCAACCGCGAATCCACACATTCATTTGCTACCAGAACTGCATCTAAAATTTGCCTCCCCCTTACAAAAGCATTCTAGGATTCCGATACCACCCCTACCAATACCTCGCGCAAACGATTCGCCAAAACTTTAGCCAACACCTTATACACACTCCCTAGAAGACTAATAGGCCGAAAATCTCTAATGTCCTCTGCCCCCCTCCCCTCCCCTTCTTGGGAATCAAGGCAAGAAATGTAACATTAAGACTTTTTTCAAATTCGCCTGACTGATGAAACTGCTCAAACATAGCCACCACCTCTAACTTCACCACCCCCAACAGTGTTGAAAAAATGAAATAGTGAACCCACCTGGACCAGGCGCCTTATCCCCCGGCATACTTTGCAAAGCCTTAAGCACTTCCTCTTCTGTAAATGGCCTTTCTAGAGAAGTACATTCTTCATCTGAAATAACATCAAAACTTACCCCATCCAAACCCGGACGCCACTCCTTCCCTACGCACCGAAATAAGTGCTCATAAAAACCCACAATACTTGCCTTGACCTCGTCTGAGGATGAAAACTCCACCCCATTTACTCGAATCCGACCAATCTGATTAACCCGTCGATGAGCATTCGCCATATGATGGAAAAACTTAATATTACGGTCACCATCCTTCAACCACAGACATCTAGACTTCTGGCGGGAACTAATCTCCTCCAAGTGTGCAATGTGACCAAATTCTTGCCGAACTTCCTCTCGACGAACCACATCAACCTCAGACAACACCTCACCACCTTGTTTCTCCTCCAACCTCTAGCTTTCTGCCCCTCCAATTGCCCAAAAACCTCCCTATTCCATCTCTTCAAATCTAACTTAAGGAGTTTTAATTTTTTTGCTAACCGTGAACCAGGCAATCCTACCACATTGTAAGTCAACCACCAGCCATTAACCATTTCCACAAAGCCCTCAGATTGTAACCACGTGTTCTCAAACCGAAAAGGCGACGGACCACTTCTAATACCCCCACTATCCAACAATATTGGCCAATGATCTGAAGTTGGACGTTGTAACCACCGTTGAGTTGCCTGAAAGAAATGCTTCTCCCAATCCCCTATGACCAGAAATCTATCAATTCGAGACATAGCTCCACCCCCGGACCAAGTGAAACCACCGCCTTGAAGCGGAAAATCTACCAATTCCATATCATTAATGAAGGAAGAAAAATGCTATATTGGACCCCTCCCTGAGGAAGCCCTCATTTTCTCCTCCAAACACCGAACTACATTGAAATCCCCACCCACACACCACGGGACCCCCCAGCGATAAGCAATAGACTATAGCTCCTCCCAAAAGCTTGGTCTCTCTACTCTCCGAACTGGCCCATAAACCCCTGTGAAGGCCCATCTAAAATCATCCTCTACACATCGAAAGAGGCAAGACAAAGAAAAACCACCCAATTCCACATCCTCCTTTACCACCACTCGTTGATCCCAACACAGAAGAACACCCCCAGCCGCTCCCAGTGCAGGAAGAAAATCCCAGGGCACAAATCTACCACCCCAAAGATCCCGAACTACCGCCCCTTCAATATAGTCCATCTTTGTTTCCTGAAGACAAACCACATCTGCCTGTGCACTTCTAAGGACAGATTTCACCAAAACCCGCTTCCCCTTGTCATTCAATCCTCGCACATTCCAAGACAAATTTTTTAACCACATGACAACAACAATGGCTGATCACGTCCTCGTTTGGTACATCGCACTCCACCTCCCCGAGTCCGGTCATAATTAACAGTACATTCCAACCTACGTAATTCCCTAGCATTTTTGACATTATGGCTAGTCGAATCCATCCCTTGCTGAAGAGGAGCCTCACCTCTCCAAGATTCCTCTAATGCCGAAAATAGTCTCAAAGCTTCTTCTTCATGGCCCTCAAAAGAAACCCCCAGTGATTGGCTTACCTCATTAATTCGAGACAAAACCCAAGCAGAAACCTCCTCTGGCACCGGTATATCAACATCTGAACCAACAGTAACACTGTCAAGGTCAACCTCATCCGAACTAATGTTCTCATTCACACCAAACTCCACAACCACCTCATCCGAACCTGCCTCAGGCCTGACCACCATGGCCAACTCATCCATCAATTCACATTATCGTAGGCCTTCTCAATATCTAATTTACAAATAATCCCCTCATTCCCTTGACGCAACCGCGAGTCCACACATTCATTCGCCACAAGCACCGCATCCAAGATTTGCCTACCCCACCACAAAAGCATTCTGGGATTCCAATACCACCCCTACCAACACACTGTGCAAACGATTCACCAAAACTTTAGCCAACACCTTATACACACTCCCTAGAAGTCTAATAGGCCGGAAATCTCTAATATCCTCCACCCCCCCTTCTTCAGAATCAAGGCAATAAATGTAGCATTAGGGCTTTTCTCAAATTCACCTGACTAATGAAACTGCTCAAACATAGCCAACACCTCCGATTTTACCACCCCCAAACACTGTTGAAAAAATGAAATAGTAAACCCATCCGGACGAGGCTCCTTATCCCCAGGCATACTTTGCAATGCCTTAAACACCTCCTCTTTTGTAAATGGCCTTTCCAATAATGTGCAGTCTGCCTCTAAAATGACATAAAAAAATTACCCCATTCAAACCCAGTCTCCACCATTCTCCTGCATTCCGAAACAAATGCTCATAGAAACCCATAATACTTGCTTTGACATCCTCTGAAGATGAAAATTCCACCCCATTCACTCGAATTTGCCCTATTTGATTGACTTAGAGATGAGCATTTGCCATACGATGAAAAAACTTCGTGTTACGGTCCCCATCCTTCAACCACAAGCATCGAGACTTCTAACAAAAACTGACCTCCTCTATTCGAGCAAACTGCCAATCTCTTACGAACCTCCTCATGATGAGACATATCAGCCTCAGACAATACCCTAGCAATGATCCTCCAGTAGACCAAATACCTCCTTATTCCATCTTTTTAGGTCTAATTTGAGGAGCTTCAATTTCTACGCTATCCGAGAACTAGGCAACCCTGCCACAATCTAAGATTTCCACCACCCTTTAACCATCTCCACAAAGCCCTAAGACCGTAACCACATGTTCTCAAACCAAAAAACAATGGACCACTTCTAATGCCCCCATTATCTAGCAAGATTGGCCAATGATCTGAAAGTGGGGCGTTGCAATCAAGAGTGGGTCGCTTGTAAGAAATGCACCTCACAATCTCCTGTGACCAGAAATCTATCAATTTAAGACATCACTCCACCCCCCGAACCAAGTGAAACCACCACCCTGAAACGGAAAATCTACTAGCTCCATCTCACCAATGAACGAAGAGAAGCGCCGCATTGAACCCATCCCCAAGTTAGCCTCCAATGTCTCCTTCATACACCATATCACATTGAAGTCCCCACCCACACACTATTGTACCCCCAACTGATAAGCAATGCTCTATAGCTCCTCCAAAAAACTAGGCCTCTCCCCTCCACGAACTGGACCATAGACCCATATAAAGGCCCAACGAAAATCATCCTTTACATATCGAAATAGGCAAGATAACATGAAACCCCCCACTTCTACATCCTTCTTTACCACCACCCTTCGGTCCCAGTAAAGGAGAACACCCCTAGCCACCCCCAGTGTAGGGAGAAAGTCTCAATCCACAAAACGGCCTCCCCACAGATCCCTAATAGTCTTCCCTTCAATATATTCCATCTTTGTTTCCTGTAGACACACCATATTTGCCTCTGCACTTTTTAACACAAATTTCACGAAAACCCTTTTTCCCCTATCATTCAGTCCTCGTACATTCTAAGACAATATTTTTAACTGCATGACAGCAATGGATCACTATGCCTTTCTTTGGACCCCGTACATCTCCTCACTTAATTCGATCATAATTAATAGTACATTCCAACTTATGTAATTCTCTGACACTTTTCACATTAGGAGTTGTAGACTTCACCCCTTACTGATAAGGAGCATTTCTCCTCCATGACTCCTTAAAAATAATCTCAATGCCTCATCTTCATAGCCCTTAAAGGAAACCCTCAATAATTGGCTTACCTCATTAATTCGAGACAAAACCCAAGCAGAAACCTCCTCTGGCAGTGGTATATCATCATCTGACCCAACAGTATCTCTCTCAAGATCAACCTCCTCGTTTGCACCATTCTCCACAGCCACCTCATCGGAACCTGCCTCAGGCCTGACCACCATGCTCAACCCATCTGTCATATCAGTCCATCGACTTGCTTCACCTTCAAATTGCTACGGTCGTGATTCCGATAGGTCGGCTGTACTAGGCGGCTGCTCCGTCACCTCATCAATATGCTGCTCCACCCCTTCTAAATCTGAAGAAGCATCAACGACGACACCTGACGACGGCAGTGGACCAGTCGGCAACTTCTCGGCATTGCCCATCAAGTCTCACAACACCGGCGAAGACCGATCATTTGGTCTAGGGCCAAACCCAGCTTTTAGCGTGGAGAATATTCGACTGATAACTGGGTTTGCTTGGGCTTCCACTGATTAAACCCCCCCATCCCTCCTTGGGCTCAAAATGACAGCTTGAGATGGCCCACTTCGATGAACCCCTTGTTGTTTGGCCCACTTCTATTTGGAATCTTCTACATTTCTCTTAGCTTGGACCTTAGCAAAGCCCAAATGACCCCCCTGTTTTCCCCGATTAAAATCCTAACCCAGGCCCATATGGGGTTGGCCCAAAAAAATTACCCCGTCTACCCATCCCCATTTGCTGCCCCAAATCTTTGCAGATAATCGTTGACCCCCAATTTCCGCCATTTCCTTCGATCTGATTGCAGCAAATCTCGCCCATCCTTATCCGTTCCACCTCCTCCACCGCCCACCATCTCCGGCACTGCTAGTTCCACCGAAGGTCCCTCCTCCACCCATACAGGTAAAGAAAACTGCCACAAACCCCATCAGACAACCACATGCGTCGGTGTGCTATGAGAACTTCTGATTCGTAGCCAAACATAGCCCAAATCCACTGATGACTCATCTGTTTCCACATAACCACCACACTAATCACCAATGGCACGGTAAACATCTTCCCCGCGAAGGTGGATGGGCACCCCCATCACCCGAATCCAAACACTCTTCGCCATCAAGGTTGTAGTTG